TATATATATATAAAATCTTAGGGTTTTGTTAATCTACTCTTTCTTTATGTTTTTAATTTACTCAACATTGTTTGACACTTGATACCCTTACTCCACAGTGTAGTAATATATTTGCCTAGGAATATTTTAGGTAATTAGTCAATGGTAAATTAGAAATTTTTGGTAGATATTTATTAACTATGGTGAAGAATAACATCGTCAACATGGGATATGGTATCATCCACATGGGGTGTAACATCACCAATGTGGAGCATTAATTGTTTTATAACAAATAATAGAATGCTAATAGTTTCTTATAAAAGTGTCTATTCTAGCCCCCCTAATGACAAAAAATGCACTTACTACAAAAAAAGGGTAATGAGTATCTAATGAATGTTCAGTAGTTTAAGTGAGTAGACCATTATACGGAGTAGCCTAACAAAACCTAGATATATATTTATGGAGTAGAGTTTCTATGAGTCTGCTTACTTATATGTTTATATGAGTCCAACCTCTAGTATCCATTTTAGTGATGAATTTTGGATTAAAATTTCTTATGGAACCATAACCTAACCCTGGTGATCATGAATATGAAAAAAACGAATTTCAGAATTTAAAAATAGTTTATTTTTGAAATTTCTTGCACCTTTGGTTTTAAATTTTCGGAAATTACTGCTTTAAGATGGACACTTGGTGGTCAGGGGAGGCATGCATCCCCTGACTCACCAAATATTGTTCATGTGTGTTTGTGTGTAGATATAGTTGTCATGCTTTGGGCTTGAACGAGAGTGTCATTATTTTGACCTTTGTCAAGGTACATTGAGGATGTACTTTCATAAGTCAATGGTCATAATTTTCTGAAACATAAATAGGGACTATCCTCTTTAAAGAATGCATACAATGATTTTTCTTTCGATTTTACTACATCAGAAAGTGTGACATACACCTGCTGTTTGGTAAATTGCCTACTGCATGGCATCCACTGTTTATTCTCTATGATGGATGGTGGAGATTATATTTTTCTAGAAACAATCTACATCACTTGGAACTATGTTTCTCCACTGTTGTTATCAGAATGACGATTAATATCAACCATACACCACTGGTATACTTCCCCTCTGACTATTGTACTTTATATGTGCATCATAGGGTAAAGAAAACTAGGGAAGTATACTATATTCTTCATGATTGGAAAATCCAATCACAACGATCACTATTGTCCAATCACTAGCTGGACGATGATGGAGATAAAGCGTCGAGTTATGTTTTGGCCCGTATGCTCTCTCTCCTTTACCATCCAACCATTGATTGCTTGGTAATGGCCATCACGACTGTGGATTTTTTAAGTAATGATGGCATTTTTCCTATAGAAAACAATAATTAGACTGGAATTCCAAGTTCTATAGGAAAACCTGTAGTCTGTAGGCTCCTCAGTGTTTAAACATTGGGTGGAGAGCGACCAATGAGTGTGGAGCACACTTTTAGGATTGTATCAGTCTGATTCATCCCACTCTATCTCCATCAGAGTACCTCATTTCACTTGATGGTCATGACCCAATGGACTATCGATTTCCATAATCCATTGGGTTAACTTTCCATAGAAAAGATCAGAAACACCTCTAGAATTGCCTTGATCTAAAAAATATCACAACATCTCAGCCACATACCCTATAGAAAATGACCAAATGATCAAAATATAGATTATAGAACACAAAAGAATAACCTTGAATATGAAAGACAAACATAACCTTTTCCAATTAGCATGTCAGAAAACTACAAAAATAGCCTAACCAAACTACTCTGCCTTTGTTAAGGTCATGTGGCAAGCTGTTGAGCGTGCACTAGGACCCGGATTCAAGAGAGAAAAGTGTGAGGTAAAGATGGTCGGCACGCCCTTAACGCACCAACGCTTCCTCAGAAGAAACAAGGGAACCTATGGTCCTGCCATACTTGCGGGGAAAGGCTCATTTCCCGGACACTCGACGCTCATTCCACAACTCTTTTGTTGCGGGGACTCAACATTTCCAGGTATTGGCATCCCTGCTGTGGCTGCAAGTGGGGCCATTGCAGCGAACTCATTGGTCTCAGTTAAACAACACTCTGAGCTTTTGGACGAAATTGGAATCTGATGGCTTAGTATGTGCATCGATTACTAACCTCTATATTTTTATTTCTAGTTCTTTGATATGGGGATTGTTTTGTGGATGAGATATATCCCCCAGCCCCAAAGTTATCATGGGCTTTGTGCAGGAAGCCCTCCAATTAAATTAAGGTATTAAATTAAGGGTGTGGTTTGTATAAGGCAAAAGTTTATATAGAGCCTAGGCTCTAAACAATCAAATTAGAGCTTATCTCAAAAATTTAACTAAAAGAGGTTGTTTTGGTGCCCAAATATCCTCAAATTGATCATCTCGACATCAAGATGCATGGACTTGAGAAAAAAAATGGATTTCAAGTTTTGGAAATAATGCATCTTGTAACGTATTTTTGGACCGATAATTTTTAAGTTATTCAAGTTTTCGTAGATCTGTTCGATCTACACTATTTTGAAGCTTTAAATTTTATAATTAAAGATGAAAATATATTTTAAGGCTAGTCAAAGATTTCTAGTATTGAAACCACATTTCTCGACACTATTTGAAGGTGGGCTCTAATTTGATTGTTTAGAATCGTACCCTTTGTATAATGTATCAAATTTAAACAATCAAAGTAAACAAACTTAGTGGAAGATGAATATGGTGCCGGAAATTCCTAGTTGGAAGAGAGGCCGTCCAATTCTTATCAAGTTGCATGTAAATTTGGATTGCATGTAATTTTGGACTAGATTGTAAATGGGTGATCTATAGGGAGAAATTGGATTTTTAGAGTTGAGCATTCCGTGCTTAATACTTCATAGGACAAAAGTGAAGCTTGGAGTGAGGCCCAACTTCACGTTTTTTAAGCCTAAATTTTATTAATTAAAGAAAATTTGTTTTGGGCTCTAAATGCTCCTAGTAAACCGCATACCAGTGTTTGAAAAATCAAACTGGCAAGGGCTGGTTCTGAGTAATTGGTATACAGGCCGGTTAGGCCACATACCAGTGTTTGAAAAAATCAAACTGGCCTCATAAATTGGCCAAGGGCTGGTTCCGAGTAATTGGTAAACCGTTAAGTCTTGGTCGGTCAAAACAATGTTAAAAAAATACAAAAAAAATTTAAAAAAAATATGAAAAATATATTTAAAGTATGATTAAACAAAGCATATCCAAATGAAATTGAAAATTTATGGAAAAAAATGGATTTTAAAAAATGAATTTGTTCTTAGGAATTTTTTTGAAATTTTTAAAAAAGTTGAAAAAAATGTAAAATTAAGTATTTCGTGGACAAAATGCTTTCCACTCTTTGTCAAAATAATAAAAAACATTTACAAACAAATCCCTTGTTTTTTTGAGATTTTATATTATTATTCAGAAGCTCATATGAAGTTTTGATTTTTCTGAATTTCATTCAGTGAATTTAAAGATCTTGTAGGTGTTTTGCCCATGGCACCAAATTTACAATCTGGTCCACCTACACCACCACCTTGCAGGCACCCAATGAGTTTGTTCTAGTTACAAATTATTTATATCTTCGAGATAATACATTATCCATATGTCATAGATAGCAATTAAATTACCATTAAAGCGTTTACAGATAACGAACCAAGGACAGGCGTTGAATATATAAACATTATTGCCAAATGATTTTATCCTCCCATGGGAGCAAACTGTCCGTTTACTCCCCTCGGGCAAAACGAAGTTGGGGTATTTTTATGACCCCGATTTTGGGGATGGGGGATGTATCCTCTACTACCTAGAGAATAACCAAAAATAAAAAATAAATTCAAATGCACCTCTATGAGGCTAAAAAAAATGATGCCCTCAAAATTGGATAAAACTATCTAATTCTTGGATCATCTGAGCTAACTACTAAAGCTCTCAAAATTCAATTATTTTTTTAAAAAATAATCATCTGCCGATATTTAAATGGATCCAGAATTTTTAGATCTAAAAAAATCTCTCCAAGCACGTTTTTTACCCAAGGGACAATTGAACAATCTGCTCCTATGCAAGCATAATATACGCGAGACACCCTTTGTTCATATCATTTCTCTCTCTCATTATAGCACACATTGATACCTCTTGGTTAGGGAAAATTATCAAAATACTCATGTGAGATAAAATATTTAATATACCCAAATTATTAGATTTAATTTGAAAATACCAATGAAAAGATATATGATCGTTAGTTGGAATTGTGTCAAAAATGCAAGGTACTAAATAATACATCTCTCATAGGTATTTTGATAAATTTTTCTTTTTGGTTACGGGCACATGTACATTTTGTAAATAATGAGAAATCCATTTGCTTGTATCATTTCTACCGAAATATTTTGTAGATAACATTGTTCGCAAAATCGCCTAATTTAACCGCTAACTGCTCGGTTAGATCTGAACCGGCCAGTGGCAAGTTCCAATTTTGAGCTGTTAGGGTGATCAAGCGGTATTTTTTAAAAAAAAACTTCAAAATATAAGTTCATAAAAATAAGGAATTTGATTGGTAATATATTTTTAAATATTCTTTACATTATGGTAAAGATTAAAAATTGCATTGGTCATTAATACTCACTTTTATATTTTCCCTTTTTTTTTTGAAAATCTTAAAAATAGCCCGTGAAAGATATAAAATGGCTTAAAATTAATTTTTTTCATTAATTTTCAACTTCATTTGAATATGTTTTGTTTTAATCATTCTTTATATGCTTTTCATATTTTAGTAGATTTTTTTTGTATTTTTTTTCAATACTTTTGTTACCACCCGGGACTTGCCCGATTAGAGCGGTTGAATCGACCGATTTACCGGTTTGGCCGATTAAACTGCTTTTAGGCCCATGTCTGATTAACCGTTCTGGTTCGATATTGCGAACACTGAATAGATAATGATAATACAGTATGTCCGAAGGAGTTCCAAAAATCCTAACCATATACTTCATCACAATCCAAACAAAACAATCAAAATTTCACGTGTTGAGAAAACAAGTGCATTCAAGGATTATGTACGGATTAGAGCACTAAAGAAGAAACATGGACTTTGGTCGGGACTCATTAGGGTCCGGCGCCCGAGTCAGAAACTTGGAAAACTCTGTCGAGTCTATCAGAGGAACTGGCGATACTTGCCACCTCTTGTGGCTTTTGGTTTTGGAGAACTCGAGTGAGACCGATCAGATTTCGAGTTTTGATTCTCTGTATCCAAGTTAAAAATTTTGAAAACAACTAAGGGGCAAAAGTTTCTTGTAAACAAAATTGGTGATTCGTTTGAAGACACAGACCCCAAAATTTTCTATTTCCATGCAAATTACTGAATTTTATCTCCAAAGTATCAAACTGGTGAACTTTATATGGTGGAGCCAAGGAACAAGTTATTACTGACAACTTAATGCACTGATAGAGGCCCTGCCTTACCATGTATAAGAAATCAACAAGAGACAAACAAATATTCAGTTTTCACAGATGAATGGAGTGAGCATATACTCAAGATCATGCTCCATTTTTTTTGTCCTTTCACTGCTAAAGCAATTTGCTTCAGTGTTGAGTCCTTCCACAATTTCCAGGGTCTTCCAAGAGAAGCTACACAATCAATGAGATGTAGAGTCAGTGCCCAGGCAATATTGTATAAATATAGCATAACTGGAGAGCCCTTATCATGGTATGGCACATGCAAATAGAAAAAGGGGAAGAGAAAGGGAATTGCAAAATGAAAATCCTTAACACATTGGTTGGATTGATTTATGGTTTTATGGGGAAATCTTTGCCTTGTCACACATAATTTACATATAGTGTACATGTATGTGGGGATTTGTGGCTGTTTGATCTTGATCAAACAACTAAAAATGAGTCAAAATTAGTGTAGAAAAAATTGAATCGGAATGGTTAACCAAACATGGGGCCGGAAGCTATTACTCGGTACTAACCGGTAAACCGGCCGGTTCAATCAACCCTACCGAGCAAGTCCCGAGAGGTCAAAAAAATGTTAAAAAATTAAAAATACAAAACAAATCTAGTAAAATATGAAAAATATATTTAAAGCATAATTAAACAAAACACATCCAAATGAAGTTAAAAATTAACGAAAAATGAACTTTAAATAATCAATTTGTGTCCAGGGGTATTTTTAAAAAAAAATTAAAAAATGGAAAATGTAAAAATAAGTATTGAGTGCTAAAATAATTTTCATTCTTTGCCAAAATGATGAAAAACATTAAAAATACATTACAAACAAAATCCCTTATTTTTTGAAATTTTATATAATTTTTTTGATTTTTTAAAAATACACTACTGGTTCAGCAAAACCCATCGAAATCGAAACCGGCCAATCCAATCTAACCTTACACTAATCAAGATTAATAGTACATGTTGATGCTGGTTGTGTTTTTCTGACAAATTAATGATGACATTATTGTCAGCTTGCTCCTAATCATCTAGTTAGGAGTGAGTTGAGTATGCATGACATTATTGTTAAGTACCCTCTAATCATCGTCAGAATACGACCAAAATTAGGATGTGGCGATACACATAAATGACATGACACAGATAGCTCTCCCTTATTTACACCTTGATATGTCATTTCTTGATGTTTTTCATCAGAATATGCTTTTGGGAATCGCACAATTAATTGCAAGAATTTAAGGGGAAAGTGAGATGCAAGATCTGTAAAAATAAGTAGTTCAAGTAATAGTTAAACTTGATTTGAATTGGGTTGTTTGAAAGGAAATAAATGGATTGGTGTTCGCATTCATCATAATATAGTTTAAGATAAGGTCCAAAACTTCAAAAGTCAGACATAAGGAGCTTAGTGGGACCCTTGTGTCCTAAATAACTTCCACTAAGTATGCCCCACATAGATGCCACTAACATCCACTTCCCTCATCCATATTGTCATTTTCTAGGCTTGAGAGATTCTCTCTCTTCCTTCTGCCACATTTTAGAGAGAGAGAGAGGGAGAGAATTTGGTATAGTTCATTTGATTCTGAGTGATTATTTGAGAAAAAAAGAGATAGAATATGCTATAGTTCATGTGATTTTGTGTGATTATTAGAGAGTGAGAGAGAGAGAGAGAGATAATGTGCTATACTTTATTTGATTTTGAGAGAGAGAGAGAGAGAAATTGCCATAGTTCATTGACTTTGAGAGGTTATTTGCACAGGAACTGCCTGTGCTCATGCCATGGCAACAATTAGGTGGTACCCTTTTGTTTCTTTCTAGGGCA